TGCAATATGCATTATTATTTAATGTGAAAAGGAAGATGCCATGGGATGCCTGGAGAATTCTATGACATAATTTAATGCAAACTATGAATGATTGCATATATGTAAAGAGATTCCTATCAATATTGTCCATGTGTGGTCATTGTCTTTTCTGAGGGAAGTTTAGTACATTTTTGTTACTTAGTTGCTAGGTGACAACCAACGAGCATCAGACGTATGCTTTCAGTTACAAACGTATATAATTTGACATTGTTTTCGAGCTTTCTGTGAGCATAATACCCCCACATCACAAAAAGAATCAAATGAAGTAATGGACTTAAAGAAAATGGGACCAAGGTCCAGTAGTTTTTTTTTTTTTTTTTTTTTTGTGGAACAATATCCAATAATTTAGGTTTTCGAGTTTGTCAAATTCCTGATTTTAGGTTTACGAGTTTTGTCAAATTCCGGAATACTCCCCGCGAAATTGGATTCGTTTCTTTCTATAACCTAAGCCTGGAATTGTACTCAAGACAGTGGGAGTCATATTGAAACCTGTTCTCAACCGTCCGGATCACCCACAGTGGGCCCTGCTAAATGGGATTATCATAATGGCTACAATGGTATAAATATCCAAATTAGATCGCATGTGGCGTGATTTAGTTTCAATATAAAACTAGACGGTGGGGTACCTAAGTCTCTCATTTGCTGAAGCATAAAGGTATAAACGGGTAATAAAAAAAACTTTGGGGTATCAGATATCAATACAGTGGACCTTTGGGGTACCAAAGCGCAATTAATTCCTGCTTGCTCCTTTCTATATCCATAGTGTAGTTTTAGATCAAAGTCAAATTTGTATGATGATGGCTATGTCCTACAAAAGGAGAAAGTACTGAATTTAAACTCAAGGCAAGAAAAATGAGAAAAAGGGGGGAAACTGGAAACGCCATACAATTGTAATCAAATTTTCAAAGCTTGAACCCTGTGAGCAATCAATTTATGGAAGAAGGGGAAAAATAAAATAAAAAAAAATAATCTTATTCTATTTCCGTAATAACATAACTATACAGCCCCTGTCCCTGTTCTGTTTTAGGATATTGCCCATAAAATTAAACATATATGCAAATAAATGCGACTCGTTCTTCAAACGCTCGTTGATATAACATTAATTAATTCAGTGGACAGGGATTACTGGATAATTAATTTCTCGCTAGTCAGAGAGCAAACATGGATATGTCACTGAGATCAAGCTCACTCGACCTGGCTCCGGCCACAAGCACCCTCTCATGAAACAGCCTCAGAGCTCTCTCCCACCGCCGATCGCCGCTCCCTTCGAAGAAGAAGATCCTGTTGAGCCTGAAGATGAAGAGCCTGAGAGAGATGGCTAAGTCAGTGTAGGATGAAGGCATGTGCATGGCCAAAGGGAGCTTGAGGGCAAAGGGGCAGAAAAGCATGGCCATGAGCCTCCAGTTGCTTTGGCCTCCGCCATTGAGGAGCTTGAGCTTGGCTAGTATTAGCAAGTGTGCTGCCATTGAGAGAGAACACAAGAGGAGGGATGAGGAAAGGGAGAGAGGAGGAGGATAATATGTTAGTTCTGACTTCATAATGGAGGCTGAGAGAGATTTTTATATTCTAAATGTGTTTTACGTTATTCAACATATTCTGGGTTATTTGCACCCAAGTACGCCACAGTTTACCTCATTCTTAACTATGATTCTGGAAGTTTTTGCTTGCCCGGAAAATACCAAAGGCTCAAAAAAAAAAAAAAAACACACACACACACACACTTAACTTTGAAATATACCTAAATAATTCATTGGGCATAAAAAAAAAGGTTTAATCAAACTTAAATTTTGTTGGCTTTTGGGTACGTACTTTTTGGTCAAAATAAAACTTTCAAATATAAAAGCTAAAATGAGGCTAACTTTGGGAGATTTAAGTGCAAATAACTTGTAATTTTCATGGATTGAAATTAGGGCCATTTTGAACCAATTAATCATGTCTCATAAATCTTTTCTCTGTGTGTATCCAGTAGTATCTTAATCTAGATTTACGATGAGGCCATATTATTTTTTTTTAATGAAAATTCAATAAAGTTGGAATAAGAACTGAAGATTATAATTTTATTATGCATAATATGTAAAAGTGGAGTTAATTCCTTTTGACAGTTGATCCACCTGTAACATGTTCACCAAAGAAAAAGGTATATACATGGTTTTTGTCTTTACACCTAAAGGTTTATCCTGGTTATGTTTAAATTCAATATTTACTTATCTTTGTATCTTTAGACTCAATCAACTTTGTGTATTTATTTTTAAACCAAAACTTCTCAAATACACTTCATATTATGTGGTCCCCCCTAGGGGTGGCAAATTTTGACCCGACCCATCAACCCGACCCGACCCGACCCGTTAATAATGGGTATGGGTTGAGTTATATGGGTTGGGTTATAAATGGGTCAACCTGAATTTACCCATTTATTAGATGGGTAAATTCCGGTTGAGCCACTGACCCGTATAATGACCCGTATAATGAAAGTACCGACCCGAATAACAACCTGCTTAAACCCGTGCGACAAAAATAAGCTCCAGATCCCATCACGAAGAAAAGCCCTAGATCCCATCACGAAGCTCAAGCGGCGAGCGGCGCAACGGCGGCAAACGGCGAGCAGCGGCGATCGGAGTGAGGTGTCGACGACGAGTGACGGTGAACAAACGGAGGCAAGCGGCGTCATTTCTTCCCCATTTTTGTCTTCGTTCTAATTTAGACCATTGTTTCCCAATAATTCACAGCGCGATCCTCTCTGTAAGTTTCCCCCCTCTCTCTCTTTCGAAGCTTAAATGTTCAAGTTTTATAGCTCAAATGTTCTGTTTCCAGAGTTGATCATTGGCTTTCATGTAAATGAATTTGATCATAGACATCTATTCCTCTTACTAGGGTTTCATTCATGCTCATTTATTAGTGAAATCTGGCTAGAGTTCCATCTTTTGATGTACTCATTATCTCTGATTGTGATTTATTTTTTAAGTAGACTGTTTGAATATCGACAATCAGTATTGAGGATCTAATTAACCTTAACCTATTACTCTGCCATAATTTTGATATGTTTAATTAATAAATTTTAATTACCTGAACATATAATTAGTTTTTCTTAACGCTGCATTTTAGGAAATAATCAGTTCCCCAACGGATAGCTGAATGAACATTTTGTAGCTCATTTGTAGCTTGTAATTATTGGTTATAATGAAGAGCAGCTCATGCCAGAGTTGTGACTGTAAAAGTCATGGGCAAGCCATATTTTACATTGTCTGCTGCATCATAGTATCCTCCCACGAGGTCCACCTACACTTTCCATGAAAATTGTCAACATAAAAGAGAGAAAATTTAATATATGACTCCATTGGAAGTGGATAAAAGAGAGAAAATTTAATATATGTGTGTCTATTAATTACCAAGATGATATCGAAAAATTTAATATATGACTCCATTGGAAGTGGATAAAAGAGAGAAATTTTAATATATGTGTGTCTATTAATTACCAAGATGATATCGAAAAATTTAATATATGACTCCATTGGAAGTGGATAAAAGAGAGAAAATTGTTTGTAATGGAGAGAAAAGATTGAGAAAGGGAGATACTATATACATTGAGTTTGGTACTTAATTAGTTTGTTAGTTTTCTTTTTATGTCTATCTTTGCATTGTGCATAGCGGTACCTTGTAATCTTTTCTTTTGAGACCACACAAAATAAGTTTAAAGCGACAATATTAGTTGTAATTTGATCTGTTGTTATCCCTTTCATAATATTTCTAAATAAAAGAGCTTTTAATGGAATGTTAGTTTGACATTAACAAACTAAATTAACTAATTCTTACTGGCTGCTGTTTCTATATTTAACTATTGGGCATTGGTCAAGTTTTTGAAATACCTGTCCTATTTATATGTGTCTATTAATTACCATATCAAAAAGTAAACATAACAGTAGTTAATTTGAAAAATATTGGAGTGAGTACAATGTTCTACTTGCTATTGCGTGCATCTTGGATCCCCGATACAAAATGCAATTTGTAGAGTTTTGCTATCATGGGCTATATGGACACAATTCTACGGAGCTTAAGAATGTGAAAGACAAGCTTTTCTCTCTCTTTAATGAGTACTCGAGCAATATGGATGGTAATAGAATGTGAAAGACAAACTTCCACATTGTAACGTAAATCATGCTCTTTAGATTGAGGAGAGCAACCAAACAGTGCATTATTCCGAACTCTTTAGTATCTTAAAATAAGTCTCTCTATTCACTAAGTTTAAAACAGCCTACAATATCTATCCAGTTTAAAACATGATGCTGATTTTTCAGTGAGCACATGTACAAAGTTTGTATATTTTGCAATATTCGGTTTCAGCTTTAAGTTAAAATTTTGAATCAAACATATTAATCTGTCTGTGTTTGTCACTCAAAAATTTGAATCAAATATACTCGCTGTAGTACTCTCCTACTTGTTTTGCATACTATTATCATTCAGCTTCCAACAAAGCTGATTAACAGCTATTGATATTGTACATTACATTGTCTCTTCTCTTGTCTGTACTTATAAGTATTTGTGCTCTCTGTTTATTGTCAGTTTCATTGGTGGTTACTATTAAGCCTTCAACATGTTATTATTATTAGTTAGCAACTTCAGATTTTCTTTAACGCATCGTTAATATATTTGTGATAATTGTTTAGGTAATTTTGTTATCATGTCTGCTTCGAGAATATGGCCCCTAATAAAAGTTGGATGCACAATATTGATAATCGTGCTACTTGTGAAGATTATGCTATTGGATAATAAAACTGGTACTCTTGAGATAGTTGAGTCACTCTTGAGATAGTACATTTCAAAGCATTCTTATGAAGAGTTCAGAATTAGTCACTCCATTTAGGTGCTTACCAGTGCCAAATATGCTTGTGAGCTGCACTTCCTTTTATTAACAAACCCACCCTCTCGTTGCAGGATTTGCCACCGGAGC